ACAAGGGCTCAGCTCAGAGAGGCCAAGCAACTTGCCCACAGTCACACAGACAGTGGCAGAGCTGGGATTGGAAACCTTTTTCCTACTATCCCAGGCTGCCTCACTGGAAAATCAGAAATAAAGAATCTATATCGGTGGCAGCTTCAGAAATAATGAAAGTGTCAATGGACGTGGCAGGGGACAAAGCCCTCTGACCTCTCTCCAGGGTCTTCCGGCTTTGGGGCATTAAGGGCCCAGAGCCCACCTGCTTGAGGGCCTCCCTGGGGCGTGACGGGAAAAGGCAGGGGACACTGCAGCTGACCCACCCACCGTCCCTTTTTGGAGACCTCCATTCCGGCTGACAGCCCAGCCCCTTCCGGCTCACAGTCAGAAATAGCTGTGACAAAAGTCCCTCCCATCCCAGAAAGCAGCTTTTAAAAAATTGCTTAAAACAGACACACACGAGGTAGAGGGGACTTTGCCAAGCCCCGGCTGCAGGCAGATGATGTGGGCATCACGTCGGGCTCTGAACAGCGGATGGAAGTTCTGCTCTGGGCCTTGGTTTCCCCATCTCTAAAATGAAAGTTCTCAGCTTCTTTCTCTTTCTCTCTCTCTCTAACAGCAGAACCCTGTTTGGCTAAACAAACACCATACACTGTTTTCAAAGTGAATCTTCCTCAGACTGTCAATCTGGGAGTCAGACAGGCATGGAGCTCTGTGGTTGTCGTGGGTCAAATCCCAGGGGCTCACCTCCCACCGTCCCCAGAATAGTCACCCTAAGGCACCCTGCTATGGACTCCAGGGCTCTGAGGAGCTCCCTTGCAAACCACCAGGCTAAATGATCACAGTGGTCTCTCCGGGCTTTCAAACCACCCTCCCTCACCCCAGGCACCAGGGAAAAACAAACCTAGCCTCCAAGCTGACTTAAACCGGGGGGACATGCACTCAGCAATCTGCACAGGGAGGGAACAAGGCAGCCTCCTGGGGAGGCCAGGAGGGGCATGGGGCACCCAGACTCCCAAAAGAGCCTCCCTGTCCAAAAGGCAGCTGGGCCAGCACCACCAGTGCCGGGCAACTTCTTCTACCAGCCATGGCAACTCTGCCCCCAGCTGCCAAGCCAGAGGGACCTTTTTCTTGACAACCTCGAAGCTTTCCTGCTTCCTCCTGGAGCCAATGAAGAGAGAGTAAGCTTGAAACTCCCCATGCCCGGAGCCTGGACCCTAGTCATCTGAGGCAGAGGCAGGACAGACAGGGAAAGGCCCAGAACAAAGAAAGGCCACAATGAACACACTGTCATTTCGGGAGGCAGAGAGATCAGTCATGAGCCAGGCCCCTTCCAGTCACAGACCTGAAGTACAGAGCAAGCTGAGGGGGACCATCTAAAGGAATCCCCTCATGTAAAGGTGGTTCTGGGGACCTGAGGCCCAGAGAGGGAAGCAGCTGGCTGGAGGTCACACAGCACCTAGTGGAGTCCAGGTCTCTTGGATGCCGACTTGTTTCATTCTGATAGATTCAGCAAGAACCTCCCAGGGGAAAGCCCCCAGCTTGCAAAGTCAGAACAGGATATTTTGGTGGCACTGGGTGGTGACAAAGTAGAGATGTTTGTTTTGGTTTCCAAATCAACGCTTGACAACCTCATCCTCGATACAGTTTCAGCAACCTCACTGCCCACACGGTAAAGACCTGGTTGGGCCAAGGGGAAACCAAAGCAGTGGTGACCAGGGCCAGGATCCAGGCACCCCAGGCCAGGGGCTCTGGTTTGGGCTGGTGTTTGCAAAGCATGTTTTGTGTATCACTGAAGCCACATGAGATGGATGATGTTAGGCAGTACACAAGTGACGTTTTAAATTTAAAATATATCGAATACATAGGTGAATGGCTAAACAAAATGTGGTCTATCCATACACTGGAATATTATTCAGCAATAAAAAGGGATGTCCTATGGATACATGCTACCACATGGATGAACCTCAAAAACACTACCTAAGTGAAAGAAGCCAGACATAAAAGACTATCTGTTGTATGATTCTATTTATGTGAAATGTCCAGAAAGGGCAAATTTAGAAAGACAGAGAGCAGATCATTGATTACCTAGGCTGGAGTGTACATGGGAATTTTATGCAAACGGGCATAAAATAAAAAGGATCTTTTTCGGGGTTGATACAAGTGGTCTAAAACTAGATTGTGGTGATGATCGCACAACTCTGAATTTACTAAAAATCTTTTAACTTGTACACTTAAAATGGGTGGCTTTTGTGATGTGCAAACCATATGTTCATAAAGTTAAACTATTTTATATAAGTAACAGTACAGGTAGTACTTGGATATGGCCATAGATCCTGGATGTGGAACCCAAAAAGCCTCCAGCTTGAAGGACACTGAACACTGAGCTACAGGTCACAGGTTGCCCTTTGGAGAAGTGAGTGGGGGTCTCCGGAGCTGCAAGTTCTTCCAGGTGAACCAGAGGAAACTCTGCAAGCTTTCCTCTCCTGGCCAGCTTCCTTCCTTCCATCGCTGCTTGGGGTTCCATGATAGATATCCTGGGAGGATTGAAAGCCTTCAGCGGCCAACAGTCCAGGCAAACACCTCGGTCTCTTCCCTTGGACCACGACTCCTCTTATGGGCAGAGGATCAGAAGTGGGCTGGGCACTCAAACCCAGATTTCTAGATTGTCAAGGCTGGAAAGACCCTTTGAGATTCTCTAGCCTAGTGATTTTTTAAATTTTTTTTAATGTTGATCAAATGTCCACCCTTCTCCCAAAACAAAAACTTTTACAAGAAACCCAAATATACTTATAATATTTGAGGTTCTTGTAAATGAACAAGTTAGCCTGTTAGTGGATACAATGAATTAATATGAAGAACTGAAAAGTGAATGAGCACATTTTCATCACTGTATTAACTAACATCTCAATGTGCTTTTACATACTAATTTGTATTAGACATTCAAGGAACTCCTAAAACATCTCTAGGAAGCCTGAGGCTTCCAGGAGCACAATTCTAGCCCATCCTCTTTACTTTACAGATAGGGAAACTGAGGCCCAGGAGAGGGAGTATGCTTGCTTTGGAAAAATTCAATGTGAGTCTTGAATCAACTTCAGAAAAGATGGGTCTTTCCAATTTACCAAAAATACGGAGGAAGAGAAGGTGTGCAAAACCCCAGAATGGCAACAAGAGAGTCACCCGCGCTCCACCTGTCTCAGCAGTGCCATCTCATTCCAGGCCAGCGCCAGAAGCTGACATCACACCCCACACCCTGGGTGCAACTTGAATAGAGCGTTGCTCAATGCCAACCCATCTCCCTCTATAACTGGGCACGGTTTTTCCATCTACTTAGTAGCCAGGTCCAAAAAGCACACACACAATAAAACAAACACAACACAAGCCTGAGGCATGACGACACTATCAACAGCGGCAGACAGGACGGTCCCGCCCATACCTCCCAGTTTCACCATCGAAAGCAAGTGCCTGTTTCCCCAGCCCACCTCAACGAGGCTGACCACGAGGGGCAGAGAGGTGGCCTCCCTATGGCAAGGGACTGGGCCATTCTTGAGTTCTCAAGAGAGGAAGGTACCGCAGGAGAGAAGCTTGTCTCCCAGTGGAGTACAAGACCTATCCCCAGAAAGCCAGACCCCGCATGAGAGAGACTGGAGACTCCAGGCATTTACTCCCTGCTAGTTCGACAAAGTACCTATCATTTTTAACAACATCAATGTGATTACTTTATACGTTCCAAAAAAACACCACCATCCTACTCCCCCTCGAGCAACTATGGGCAGATTTTATTATCTCCATTTTTCTGATGAGCAAATAGCCTTCTGAGTGGTTTGACAATCTCACTGGCAGGTGACAGAGCTGGCATTTGAATCCTACCCAGTTGCTAGCCTGCCCAGGGGAAGGAGACCCATGCCCAGCTCTCCGGGGAGACCTTTAGAGACAGAAGGAAAGGTCCTTCTCAGCACATCCTCTGAGCCCTGGAGTTCAGAGCCACAGCTCCAAATGCAGAGTCGCCCATGCCTGGGACAGCAGCAGCGAGGGCCAGAGGGCCCCTCCCCCACCCTAGCTTGAGATGTAACACAGACCCCCTCCTCTTATCGGAAAGCAGACAGTACTGTCTGCCAGGCTGCAGGCAGGAAGCAATGACAGTTTCCCAGCTGGGGAATCTGGGCTGGGGCAGGCAGTCTGCCCCAGCTCTGGCCAGAGATGGTGGTCTCAACAGCCCAAGATTATCTTCTCCTGGGGGCTCTTAGGGATGAGTTTTTGGGGCTCCATAAACCATGAGACTTGGGGAATAGGGAGAAGAGGGATGAAGAGAGGTGTTTTTAAGAGCTCGTGGTGAGTGTGATGTGGTTCTGGTTATCCATCCCAGTGAGCTGGCCCTTACAAGAGGCAAGACGGCAGACCGTGGCCCTAGCGGGTAGGGCAGATCCAGCCATTTTCAAATACGTGATCTCATTTAATCCAAGGAATAAAAAGGCAGTGGCTTGGCTAAGAGTTTTTTTCTTTTTACCCATTGGGGGAGGGAAGCCTATCTCCTACATCCTTGGGAAAATACCTAGGCTGGGAGACAGACTAGCTAGGGGTGGTTAAAACCACTAGCTCGAATTCAGGTTTCACCACTTATTGGCCAAACCACCTTACGCAAGTCACTCCGTGTTTCTGCACCTCAGTTTCCCCATCTGGAAAATGGGATAAGACTGTCTTACACTGCACCGTGTGAAGATTAAAGTGAGACCACATGAAACACAGATGGTTATTATGTCACCCAGAAAACAATGTGCCTGACCAGTGACGGCGCCGAGGTGTCCCCCACCTTCTCAGCGCCCGCCCCCATTCTCGGATCTAGAGATAACTGAGTCTTCCTAGCACGCGTTCGCGCTCTGCAAACACAGCTTCCAGCCCACCTGCTAGGACCAGCTGCCCAACCGGGACCCGGGACCCTCCCGCACGCGCATTCCGCGGCTGCCGGGACCTGGCTGCCCCGGGCTGGGAGCGGCAGGGGGAGGGGCGGCCCCACTCACCTCCGCTTGTACTCGTCGCGCTCGCGCTTCACCTTAGCCAGCACGTTGTAGAGCGCGCGGATCTCGGGCGTGATGGTGTCGATCTGGACGCCCACGCCGTCGGGGTGCACCCACGACACGCCGGGGCCCTGCACGGTCTCCACGCCGCCGCCGCCGGTGCGCCGCACCTGCGTGTAGCTCCAGATGGTCCCGGGCAGGCGGCCGTAGTGCTGCAGGTGCGGGCCGCCGCCGGGGGGCAGGCCGCCCAGGGCCACGGCGTTGGCGTTCGCGTTCACGCCGGCCGCCGCGCCGCCGCTGCAGTGCCCCGAGCCGGGCGCGGGCGGCCGCAGCAGCTCAGGCCCGGTCTGCACGGCCTGCTCGCGGGAGAAGGTCTTGTAGCGCAGCCGCCGCTCGCGCTCGCTCTGCTGCTGCTCCAGCTGCTTCTCCAGCAGCCGGTTGCGCCGCTCCAGCTCGTGCACCTTGGCCAGGAAGCAGCGGAAACGCACGTTGAGCCCCTTCAGGAGGTGGATGTTGGAGCCCAGGTCGTCCCGCAGCGCCGCCGTCACCGGCGACGGCCCCGGCCCGGCCCCGCCGCCGCCCCCGCCGGGGCAGCCCCCGCCGCCGCCCGGCGGGCAGCCGAAGGCCAAGGCCATCTCCCCGAACAGCAGCGAGTTCACCATGCGCCGGCCGCGCGGCTCCGGGCCCCGGGCCCGCGGCTCCAGGTGCGGCTCCAGCTCCGGGCAGGGCTCCCGGCGCGGCCGGGCCAGGGTGGGCGCGGGCTCCAGCGCGGCCGGCCGGGCGGTTCCAGATGCGCGCCAGATGCGGCCTCCGCAGCGACGCCGGGCGGGACTGCCCCCGGATGTGGGCGCCGCGGCGAGGGCTGGGGCTCGGCCGCTCCCCGGGACACGGTGGAGGCCGCGGTGGCTGCGCGAGGCTGGCGAGGGTCGCGGGTCCCACCGCCGGCGCTGTCAGAGACGCTGTGGATGGGCCGCGGCAGCCGCACGCAGAGGACTCTCGGCCGGCACTGCCCCCTCTGCGGCGGGCCCCGCCCACTGCAGACCTTAGCCCCGCCCCCGCGCTGGCCCCGCCCCGCCCTCCTCCCTCTGCGGCGCTCCACGAGCCCGAGGCCCCGCCCCCAAAGGGCTGCAGCGCCGGGCCACGCCCACATGCCCGTGGCTCCGCCTACTCCCGGGCTCGCCCGGCCCTCTCCGCCCCGCGGACCGGCCGCTGCAGCTCTGGCCCCGCCCAGGTCCGCGGCTGGACCCCGCCCTCGCGCGCGGCTGGCCCCGCCTCCCCGCCGGGCTCGGAGTCTCCGCCCCGGACCCGGCCGCAGAGCTGCACCAGGGACCCGGTTAGCTGGAGCCGCCGCAGAGCCAGCCCGGCCCCTTAAAGGGGCGGCGGCCTCGCCGCGCTCGCTTCCCCTTCGGGACGCGCCTGTCCCCGTCGTCTCCGAGGGGGCCCCGCTCCCCAGCCCCGCGTTCCCAAGCGCGGGAGACCGCGGCCCTCAAGGGCCGGGGAACCGCGGCGCAGCGGCACCCCACCCCCACGCCAGCCGGCGGCCCAGATCGACCTTCGCGGGATAAGGCGGCGTTTCCGCCGGCACGCCCCCACGCGGCGGCCCGGGGTGGACTCCGCGGCCGTGTGCCCCTCCTCTGCGCACGGGCCTTGTCCTCCCGATCGGCCTGGGCACTGCCGCGTAGCCCGTCCGCAGACCTGCGGGGCGCTGGGCGCGTGGGGGGCAGTCACATGCCCCCCTGGAGCGACGTCCGCCAGCTCGGCGGGGCCTGGCTGCTGGGCTGCTGCGGCTCCCCAGGCCTGGCGGACCCCTCCCCGCCGCCGCACGACCGGGCGCGGCTGCCCCTGAGCCCGGGGTCTCTTCCACTGAAGGCCGAGGGGGCAGCATGGGGCGAACCGGTTCTGAGGGCTGAGCCAACCCGAGGACCCATTCATTCATTTATTCATTCATTCAAATATGTTTTCACACCTACCACCCTAAAGGCCAAGTTCTCCAGTCTCCTGGTGTCTCCTGAACCAATTTGCAAATACTTAGTTATTGTCCCCATTTTACAGAGGTTACCGAGACCTGAGTGGCCCCGACGAGTCCAAAGCCCACGCTCCAACCGGCCTTCCAGGCTGCCGGCCTCTCGTCCATTTCCACATTTCATCCTTGCAAACCACAAACCTCACAGGGGAAGTGACCCCCACCTTTGAACGCCTGTGGCTTGCATTGTGTGCACTTAACCAGATCTGTGGCATGTTCTAGATTCTTCCGGCTGCATATTTTGAATTGCAATTTAATTTTTGTCTTGCTATTAACTTTTGTGTTTGTTTTGTCTCTTTGTCAGCTCGAGGGCAGGTGCCCAGTCTTACAGGGACAATGCCCCGGTATTCTTGCTGACAAAAGGGACACAAAGGAGACAGGGGCTTGTTCCAGGGTGATGCTGTGGCTGTGATGTTAGTCTGCTGTGGTTTTCATTCCGCCACAAAAGCAGACCCTCCCCATGTTTCCTGCCCTCAATCCCAGCTCCTTGCTCACTGCCAAAGTGGACTCACCTTACAATACCCAGATCCGAAACTCAACCTGTCTTGAAACCTTTCCCAGCTTAGACTAATCCAGTCTGGTCATTGCTCTTTGTTTTCTCATCCCCTGATGATTGTCTTGTTTATCTAACCTAAAGAAGCAAAACACCTTTGCCTTGAAGTAGAGGCCCCCAGACCCCCGAGAGGACTAAGGATAGAATTCTGGGGCTTCCATGACATTGGGATGGATAAAAGTTATATCTCTAATTTTACAAATTTCCATATGGTTTTTATCCTTTCCTTTGATTGTGAATGTAGGCGGCAAGTAGAAGCCCCATGATTTTGTCGCTAGTAGAAATCACAGGTATGTTCATATCACACTACAGTTACTGTAAATACCTCAAGATACCATGTAAGCTACCGGAACTCTGAAATTAAGGTCTTATTAGACCCACCACCAAATCGTATTTAGTGTATTAATAAAGAAGCACATATGTTACTATAGCACAAATTTCTGTTGTTAGTGATGTCTGCATTTTAGAAAAAAATTGTTTTCATTGTAATCCTAATGCATTTTTAAAAAATTGTTCCGAGAAGGGTCACCAGGCTTCACCAGATGCCCGAGAGGACCCGTGGAACAGAATGGGTTAAGAACACCTGGAGAGTGGCTCCCTGCAACCTCTTCCTGGGAGGGTTTGTCTTGCCAACAGAGTTGCCCCAGAGTGGAGATGTTGAACCCTCCTGGGGTCTGGGTAACCCTGTCCCGGGCACTAAAGAGGTCCAGACTTCCCGTGCTCCTTTACTGAGCACGCGCTTCAGCACGGATCCTGCACTACACACAGGAGGGGGCTTCAGGGGGTCTGGGGAGCTGATGAGACGACCAAAAAAAAAAAAAAAAAAAAAAAAAAAAACCAACCTGAGGCATGGCGCGGTGGCTCACATCTATAATCCTAGCACTCTGGGAGGCCGAGGCGGGCAGATTGCTTGAGGTCAGGAGTTCGAAACCAGCCTGAGCAAGAGCGAGACCCCATCTCTACTAAAAATAGACAGAAATTAGCTGGACATCTAAAAACATATAGAAGAATTAGCAGGGCATGGTGGTGCATGCCTGTAGTCCCAGCTGCTTGGAGGCTGAGGCAGGAGGATCGCTTGAGCCCCAGGAGTTTGAGGTTGCCTGTGAGCTAGGCTGATGCCACGGCACTCACTCTACCTGGCAACAAAGCGAGACTCTATCTCAAAACAAACAAACAAACAAAAAACCCAACCTGAGATGTGGGGTGGTGGGGGCAGAGGAGAGAAGCCTGGCCCAGAGGAGATCATTGAGCAGAGAACAGAGGATCTAAGGAATTGGCAGAAGTGGGAAAGTGTTTATAGCAGAGCTGTAGAAACATGATTCATACAAAGAAAATGTCTAGAAAACAGTCCCGTGGCCACATAGGAGCAAAAGTGAAATGCCGTGTGTCTTGCTCATTGCAGGTAAGATGAGAGAGGAGTTTAACCTAACAGCCTTCTAGCTCAGATGACCAACTGTCCCAGTTTGCCCAGGACCAAGGGGAGGTTTCTCTCGATGCAGGACTTTCAATGCTAAAACCTGGAGAGTCCCAAGCCAACCAGAACGAGTTGGTCACCCTACTTCCAGCCCATGTCCATCTGGAGACTTCTGAGACCAGAAGTCCTGGCTACTAATGTCAGCCAGCCCGAATGCAGCAAGCACCATGCTCCCTTTTTAGAGATGAAAGAACTAAGTAAGGCCCAGAGGGAGGTAGGGACTAGCCCAGGTCACCCAGATAATTGGTGGCAAAGCCTGGTCTAGAATTCTGGTCTCATTCCCTGTCTAACAGTGGGACCTACCCCTAACCAGACAATGAATTCAGTGGCCCCTTCCCCTCAGCCCCGGATACCTTTTGGGTTGATTCCCCCATTCAAGATCCAAATGGGGCTAACTATGGGTCCTCACCAGGTGAGCGGTCATTCCAACAGACAAAGGAACTTCCCCTGGGGGTACGACATCCTCCACCCACTGGACAAGAGTGGGTTTTTCAGCAAGGCACCTCCCCAGGGCCCTCAAAGTCACGGTGGTACGTCTAATCTGCCTGGTTAAGAGCTGAGCCTTTCAGACCAGAGACTGGCTTAGGCTTGTCTCTCTCTGTTCCAGCGTCTCTTGCTCCACTGGGCAAGTCACTTTGCCTCTCTGAGGCTCCATTTCCTCATCAGGGAAATGGGCACAGCATCACCCACGAGGCCTTTTCTACACCCCTGCCTCACCTGTCACCGTCACCCTGCCTGCCCTGTCAACGTGCTGGACGTGGCAGGCGCTCACCGAGCAGTTGCTGAATGAATGCATAAAAAATTAAGGAATGAATGCACAAATGGCTTTCATTCTTCCCACCACCCCGGCCCCTGCTATTCCACCCGGTAACTGCTCCTCAGCCTTCAGATCCCAGCCTCATGCACAGAACCTTCTCTGCTTTCCCAGCACGTGCCAGGTCCAGGCCGAGGCCCCATCAGCACTGTGCACCCTGCGGCAGCCCCAGCTACGCTCTCTTGTCCTTGCTGGCTTTCTCGTCTGCACCTCCCTCCCTCTGACCCCAGCCCTCTAACACTCACTAGACCTCGCCCTCCATTCCCTACCACTGCAACCTGTATCCCGGCATGGTACCCGGCACATAATAGGTGCTCAGCAAAGATGAGTCCAGGCAAACAAACGAATGAGCTGTTAGTGCTGGAGAGATCCCGGGAGAGTGCATAATGGGTGCTCAGTAAATGTTATATTTGCAAATTTCAATTACATTTCTCTGTTTTACAACTTTATTGAGGAATACTTTACATATCTCATAATTCACCTACTTCAGTGGTTTTTCGTAAATTTACCAAATTGTGCAACCATCACTATAAATCAGTTTGAGAGTATTTCATCTCTCCCAAGAAGATCTTATGCCCATTTAATATTAAACCCCGTCCCTACCCTGCCCCAGACAACTGCTGATCTACTGTCCGTCTTCATCAATCTGCCTTTTCCAGATAGACCCTATAAACAAAATCCTGCAGTAGGTGACCTCTTGTGTCTTTCTTTCACCGAGCATGTTTTTGAAATTTATCCATACTATAGCTTATATCAGTAGTTCGTTCCTTTTTATTTACAATCTCTTTTTAAATTTTA